AACAGACGCAATAACTTGCGAATTTTTAGATATAACTTCTCATGGTCAGCCATTAGGTTACAGAATATCACTAATCTCCAAATTAGCTTAGAAGTTGTAACCGAGCCTAATTTAAAAAATACATTTTCACATTCAATCTATTTTCAGTACTGCCAGTTTCCTCTACAGAAATTTCTCCTTCTTTGTTATCTTATCCGGAATCATAGAAAAATAAATATAATTAATTCAATTTAATAAAAAGTAAATTTATCCATTGATTATTTTCATAGTAAAGCAAGCAATAACTTCCTGACATGAAAAAAAATTCTTTGTGGAAGGTCTTCTAAGAAAACACATTTAATAGTTACTTTGCATGCCAGAAATGTTGCTGTGGGAATCGAACTCACAGTGAAAGTGGCTGCAGTTGCCCAGTGGACTACAATCGAAATACGCTACTGACCATTAAAATTGCAGCACCATGAAGGAAAGCAAATACAAATAAGATATTTATTGCACGTAAACAGTATAGCATGATGACAAAATGATTAAATTTGTAAATATTTTGGAGGTTTACAGGGGTACGAAATTAGCAGAAACAGCTTGACATGTGAATTAACATTTTATTATTTAAATCACCTTTATTTATTGAGCTAGCGGTGGCTCTTAAGAAATGTACCTCCAGTGTTTTCCTTCATTGCACTCTACTTTAAGCAATTAAGCAAGTAGAACGGGAAAACCCCATGGAGCAGTAAGTAAAGGGGCGCTCTCGCCGCCTGCCCTGGGTAATTCAGTTTGAATTAGCAGACACCTTTGCACAAATCATTTTAATTATAATTTGTAATATCTAGAACAGTGGTCATTTCGTATGACCGCCGGGTTTTCTAGTATAAGTATATAAATAAATTTATGTTTCTGAAAGCGTAGATTGCTATAAAATACATGTAAGTACTACATGTACAGAGTTCAAATAATATTTTGTGGGCGTATTTCATAACCATTTATATATATATATATATATATATTTGAGCATGTTTTTGTGAGTGATGCGAAACTGCATTTCTAGTTTCATCCCCAAACAACATTTCTAACTTCATATCCCAGAAGTCGTTCTAGTATTTTTCCGCACTTAGAGGCCGAAACTCGCAAACTTACTTAGAAGGCAAATTTCAAATGTCGTTAAAAATTTATGCATTCTTTTTAGCTAAAATGGGGCTAATGTTTTATGACCTTCTACTTATATTTGCATCTCTAAAAAAAGTGTTCCTCTCAATATTATACCGGTGGCAAAGCGCTCTTGCCGATGAAATGGTAAGCTTGACCTATCACTTCGAATGAAATGCTGTGGCCGTTTGTTAACAGTTAAACTGCAAGAATGAGACTTTCTGGTATCTTTTTTTGAATCGAATCCGGATGCTAATCTATTTTTGTCTCAAAAATTAATTAATTAATTAATCATCAATAACTCAGGGCCCTTAAGACGATCCTCTCGTCAAGTTGCTGCAGCTGACCGAAAGTTTCATATAAGTATTCTTAAAGACAACTGATTTTCAGACGGGCACGCAGTTGCCAAGCATGTAAAATACGTACAAAGATACGCATGGCCTACGTATACATACTTCATGCATTTATCCACAATTATTTGCAAGCAAATATTCATAGAAATTTGTTGCCATCTTTTGGATTGGGGGCTATTTGGGCGTGTTCTTTCCTTTGAAATGCCGATGTTTTCTAGATTTACCATTCTCTAAAACTGGAATTTTTTTCTCAATCTGACATATTGAATGACATTTCTGAATTTGACATATTGTTTACAAATATAACTATAATTGACTGCCTAAAGTTCTCCTTTTAATTCGGCTTAAAGAAATAAAATCTGTCAGGTGTCATCTTCTTCTGTTTCCTATTAAATATGTTTTCTGGGATTGATTAGATCCTCCAAGTTGCTTTTTTTCGAAGCATCAATTCTTTTTTAATTGGCAGAGACAATTTCTCCTCAAAACTTCGAGAAGAAAACAGAGTATCAGAATTTAAACCTAGGGAGTTGCCCAGCAGAAGCTTTGCATGCTGCTTAATCAATGCCCTCTGCTGAGTTATGCTTTTATCTTTAGCAAATTTTTACATACTGGAATAGTTTTTAGTCACACTATTTTAACCATTCATGCGAATCTTTTCCAGTTACTGAATTTTTTTGTCGCGGCGATGAACTACGCAAAAACGAATCTTTTTCTGAAAAAAAAAGGGGGGAAGAAAGAAAAAAAAAGAGAGAGAGAGAGAGAAAGATGGGTGTTTTTTTAGTAGTAGTAGAAGTAGTAGTAGTAAGCTATGTGTTATGGTGAAACGTTTGGTTGTCAGCCTTAACAATTTGGAGTTTAGATATTACCTTTTTGATCAATTTCTGACCAATCTTTAAAATTTGTATTCAAAGGTGCAGCATCTAATTTGTTGAAACATCCATTTTTGAAAACATAAAAATAGAGCTGTTTCGTATTTAAGTTTCATCGAAAAGCTTTAAATTCATGTGGACATTCATTATACTTTTCTAAAAAAGAAGATGAACTCCCAATGAATTATTATTCAATATTATTATATCGAATATTTTCGATTATATTATAGAGATTAATTTATGGAATATTTTCGATACAATAATCTCTCTTGTGACGATCACCTCAGTAGACTGTATTTCTAAGAATGTAAATAATTATCGATAAATGATATAAAACATCATCTAAGAAAAGCTTTTCCACAGAAGACCAAAATCTTCTGGTAAGTTTTGTGCGGTACCAAAATCATTTGGGTAGATATCTTTAAGATGATTTCCTCTGTCTTACCGTTCTGTACCGAAATCAAGTTTTCGCATATCACATTCTAAGAATTTATCACCTTGAGGGAAAATTACATTGTATTATGTTTCGTTTGAAATTTTGGTGAAATTCTGTGCTATGTAGATTCACTGATACGGATTAAAAACCTGTTCAGATAATAATCAAGATAAAAGAGGAATTTGGGTGCTATACTGAAATAAAGACTGTCGCGGAGAATATAAAAATAATATAGAATGAATGAGGAGGCATCTGGAAATTTTTACATAAGTCACTATTAGGCCAGAGGCAACTCTGGCGTGCCGATGCTATTCGCACCAGTGGTGCGATTAGACGCTTGAGCTATTCGCACCAACATTAACCACGCATATGCGCATTGAGTCGTCGGATCCGTCATTTGAACCCAATCGAAAAGAACGTAGAAGCCTACGCGAACTAAGTGTTGTAGTGAATATATTTTTTTAAGAGGGGGGTTACTACCTTGGCGTAGTTTATCATTACTTAAGCGTTGGCGACTTTCAAAAGTTTTGAAAAGAAAATTAGTTCCTTTTCTTATATATATTAAAAGAAGGATCACATTTCCTTTTATCAAAGTATGTGTAAAAAGGGGCAGAATTTTATGTTCACAATGTTTATCGTTTTCCTGAACAGTTGGAAAAGTTTAAATGACTGATTTGAGGGAAGGTACTAAAATCTTGTTTACATTTTTTGTACTTCTTAGAATACATTTAGCTTCAAAGATGTGTTTTGTACAATGAAGACTTTATTTCATGCCTCTTTGAAAATTGTCTTAGAAAAGTAATAAAAATTAGATAGAGGATTTCTGCGCAGAAAGTTTAAACATGAAATAAGTTAACAGCGATTAAATCAGCTATTAAATGAATACTTAATCATGTAATACAAGTTATTAAAATTTTTTTATGCCCGTTTATTTTTTATTGAAATACTTGGCATTTTCAGGACACAAAAAGTATTTCAAAGAAGTTTGAAATATTAGTACAAACACATTAATAAGTTACATTGAAATAAATAATGGAATGTAATTTAAAAGACAGAAATAATTTAATGTAAGAGATTTAGATTTAAAAATTTGCACACACAAATGATTTATTAGATTTTATAAGGTTTTATTTCATAAATAACTTTGATTTTGAAATATGGCACATTTGAACCTATAAACATCTGTGGATATTGAACAAGTGATGAATATATAAGAAATGTTATAATGTTCAGTAAGTTTTCTTATTGAATAATAAATTCCTGACTGTCCTATGCTGTAAGCCTAGGGTATAAGTTTGCATAAAATTCCTCAGTTAAATAAAAGAATTTAAGTAATATCTGTAGTCCTTTTTGTCAATACATTAAAGATTTTTAACTAATTACACGTCTTCTCTTGCAATTAGAACCATCAATTAAATCTCCTATATTATCTAATCATTTCCTGAACATTATCATGTATATAAATTGACCTCGTCTTTGTAACTGATAATTATTACTTGCAAATTATTCTCTTGGTGGTGAACTATTAACAACCCTTTCTATTGCTGAGTTAGGGTTAACAAACTTCGCTCTCGCTACCATCTGCCTTACTGAAATCGGCATAAAATGCTGGTACCTGAGCTGATTGTGCGCATGCGCGAACATGCGTAGGTGGTGTGAATAGTCTCTTAGGCTACTATCACACGGCTGTTTGTATCGGAAGAACAACTGTTTGGAACAATTTTTTCTGATTTGTCACAATAGCCAATCACCATAGATCGCTTTGGGGTTAACACAGGGAAAACTGTTTCCCCATTACAAACAAGCTGATAGCATTCGAAGCTGATAGCTGATTGGTTGAAAACGAACAACTTGCAATTTTTTTGGAAAAGAAGAAAAAAGTCGCACGTATTTCTTTCAATAATAAACCAGTGAAAAATATTGTCCGAAACAGTTGTTCGAGTGAAACAAACGCCGCCTCGATATGGGCCTTAGCTATTCGCACTGTCGGTGCGATTAGCCACTGCGACTGTAGTGGAGGTCCGTAGCGGCTCTGACCAAGGCCAACTAGATATCTAGTTGGCCTTGCTCTGACGTGCAAATCGAACGTCAGATCCGGGCCTAGGGGCGAAATACTAATCAAACCATCTAGTAGCACTTATGGAACTGTTGTTATACCAGTGAGCAGTTGCGAGAGCTGAATGTTAGCAAGACGAAGAGAGTCATCAGTTTACTTTGATAGACAATTTTTTTTAGTAATTTTGAGAAAGACATTTGCTATGACGAGTATAAATAAATAAAAAGTATGCTGTATTTATAATTACATAATAAGAATAACCTTCCTAAAATGAGTACGTCGAAACCACTCAAACAATAACACTGTACTCCTTCATTGAAATACCAGATCCAGGAGTTTTTCTTCCCCTCTACCGGCATTAAGTTACAGCGATTGAGATCAGCGATTGCAACTAGCAATAGACGGCTCGAGTTATTCTGAAAACAAAATAGGAGAGAATCAGAAAGTGGCTCTCTGATGCATTACGTGAAGCAGAAAAAAAAATTTCAAGTTAAAAAGCTAAATTCACATTGCTCCCGTTTGCTTTCGATGTGTGTTCGTCACTGCAACCGTAAATCCATTTTTTGCTACTAAAGCGCGCAATAAGTTTGATTTTTGATTTTAAGTGCAATCATTACCATCTAAAAATGAGTAATAATAAGTTGACTTTAAACATAATCGCAGCAGCATGTAATAATATGGGTATAGGAAATAAAGGACAACTGCCATGGCGTTTGAAGTAAGTAAACGCATCTTATAACTTAAATTTTAAATGCATAGGCAGAAACCTTATGAAGTAAATTGAATTAACCTAGATTCTGTAATATGTAAACAGTTAATGTTTTTAAACGTAAATAAATGCGTAATAATTTTTTGATAGACTTACATTTACCTGTGACTGTATTTTATTATTGTTTTATTAATTTTTTACCGACAGTGTGCAATATATATTTTGTTTTGAATATTCAATATAATTTTTAGAGGAAACAGCCTTTAAACATTACTAAACGTGATAATTATTTAATCACTTTAAGTTTTTTAGAATACATTTACTTCATTGTTTTTGATTAGTTAATTGATTAAAGCAAAAATTGAGGGTTATCTTCTTATGGGTAGGAATGCCCTTTTGGAAGTACTACTGGCTTCTAGCCTATCTATATTTTAATTATATCTATGTTTTAATTAAATTTTGGTTAGATTTTATTATCACATTAAGTTTATATATTTCTTGTTAATTGCCTTGGGGATTGAAGATTTATGCGATATTTGTCTGCATAATGTCTAAGCTTTAAACTTCAGTTTCATATGGTGTTTACTTTAACTAATATAAGGACAGTTTTGTATAGTAGCGCTAAATAATAACTTGCCAGTAGCAAATATGACAAGTGTTCTGCTAGTTTCAAAACATGATTGCAATGAAACTACCTTGTAACAGTTAAAATGTTTGTCAAATGGAATAAGAGATCATTCAGTTTTATGGTCTGACATTCATACAAATTTAATATTAGTGTAAATAAATGTTGTAAAATACATTAAAAATCAATGAAGTGTTATTATAAGCCAGTTTCTATCCCCCCCCCAATTTTTTTTTAATGTGTTAAAATTGGCTAATGCAAAACTTTTTTAAGCAACAAAAGGTTTTTATCGGGGTTATTTTCAGGCATGGGTAACATAGGCAGCCTAAGTCATTTGTCTCGCATGCAACAAGTAAATATAGGTGTATTTCCCTTTGAAGTGTTAATATATTGAATTTACACAAGATGTAAAGTGTACTAGTCCCCTAGAATAATGGTCTCAAACTAGCAGCCTGCAGGCCACATGTAGACCCTGAAACAGTTTTGTGCAACCTGTGAATAGATTTTAGTTATATATTTGTTGTAAATATGGTGCCAAACTTTTCATATGAATAAGGTTATTGAAACAATAACTAAAACAGTGAACTTTATCCACACGAGAGCTCCGAATAACTAAGTTTGTTGCATTGCTTGAAAAAACTGAAGGTACAGAGACATTATTTAATATAACAATAGGTGAGGTAGTTATGTTGAGGAGCTGTATTAAAACAGATTTTGATTTAATAAATGAAATCAAAATTTTCATCACATAAAAATAAATGAAGGAATAAATAAAACCATTTGCAAACAATTCTGTTCCCCCTCTACGTCAGTTAGAAACAGTGCCTTCAGTTATAAGTTATCTGTTTACTTTATTTTAAATCATATACATCTCTGTATTCTGCACCTGCTTCTGATGTTTACACTAGATAAAATTATTGATAAAATATATTTATGGGTGTCCCTTGGCGAAAATTGGCGATTTTTTGGTGGTACATGGATACCAACTTTGTGCAATTCTCCGACTTGTTATTTTCACTTTGTGTAGCGCGGCAAAGTTTGCTGCTACACAAAGCCAAAATAACAAGTTAAAGAATTGCACAAACTCGGTATCCATGTACCGCCAAAAATCGCCAAGTTCCGCCAAGGGGTACCCGTAAATATACTTTTACCGAAACTTGTGCTATGGCATGCATTTTGTTATTTATTTATTCACTTATTTCTGTTGAATTCTAACATTTGACAGAAGGTTAGACATCATTATTTTGTACTGAATCAATATTTTTTAATGTGTGTAGTAATAGGAATTATAAATTCATCAGGTCTAAAATATTACTGATTGTTCTTTTTTCCCTGTTTCCAAATTATTATCTTTTAGGAAGGAAATGAATTTTTTCAAGGAAAAAACTAGTGCAACTGACAATCCAGGTACGTATATTTTCTTTTTATCTTGTTATGTACTCTTTGGGTCTTATTGTGTCTCTTTTCAATTAATCTTATCTTTCTAATTATTTCTGGGGGTTTTGTAATGTCATATGTGATATTTTATAGAAAAGCAAAATGCTGTCATAATGGGAAGGAAAACATGGTTCAGTATCCCAGAAAAATTTCGTCCTTTGCCTGGAAGATTAAATATTGTATTAACTACCACACATCCGTATGTATTTAATTGTATATCATTAATTCCTTGAAAAATTTTGGATTATACTTTCTTTCTCTTTTGTTGAGAATTTATGGTTTCACTTGAGTGTTCCATAGATTTATAGCAGATAAAAAAAATGCTTATAAAAATATAATAATGAGCAATTTTATCATTATGTTATCTAATTTTCATAAATATTTCATTTTATGTTTAATATTTTGTTATTTTTATTTATCTCAATTCATTTCAAAGTATTTTTATTATTATTTCAGGTTCATTTCAAAGCATAGTGTACTGTTAACTTCCTGTAATTGTTTGATAAGTGTGTGATATATCACAGACTGATAACACAGTCACTAAATTCTCATATTAATTTTGCAGGAAACATGTATAGAAATGTAGCTCTTTAAATGTAAATGAATAAACTTAAAAAAAAAAAAAAAAAATTGAGCTTATCCTATTTTTCCTGCATTGGGTTTTATTTTTAATGCTAATTAAATGCCATTAGAATACAAAGTTTGAGATCCAAACTCATGGGCCTTCTGCGATTCGAGATTTGGGATTTTTCTGGATATTAGATCATCATTTTAGTAAGATGAAATATAGAAATTATAACATTAAAAATGTAAAAAAGTAGTTTATGAAATAATGAAGCACTTGTGACCTTAATAAAATAAAATTGACAAAAACAGAATCTCAGTATTTATTTATTTGCTTTATTAAACATTTATTTTAGTGTTAGTTGTTTAAGGTCACTGGCGTAGCTGGGGTGGGGCAAGGGGGGACATCTGTCCCAGGGCGCAGCATCCAAGGGGCGTGAAATTGATGCTACGAAATTTTTTAATGAAATGTTTCCCATTCTTGGCACACAGAAAAGGGCACAAATTTTTCAGTTTTTCCTGGGCGCTGAAAACTTTAACTATGCCCCTGTTTAAGTTGCTTCATTTTTTATGCTAATGCTTTCTCTTTAATTCTGCAGAAAGGCAGTTTTTTTTCACCAAAAGCCAAAGATTAAATTTATGGAGTACCTACGGTTAAAAACAGTCTACCTCCACATCAGAAAAATATTAAAAAGAGAGTAAAAAAGGGTAAATACATAATAGTTAGAAATGGAAAAACTAGAGGGAGCCACATGGCTAAAAAAACTGAAGTTGACAAAAGAATAAATATATACTTTTTGTAAATTTTAAGATTTTAATTTTTTAATATTATATTTTATAAATTTTTCAGTATTTTTAAATTTTTATATGCAGCACAAGTTCAAAGCAAAAAGTGGATAAAGCTATGTAATGATAAATCAGTGCAGCAAGTTATAAAATTCATGAAGCTACATTTCCAAGCCAGAACTTAATTTGGTTGATCTTTACATTACGGTAACTGGTAGTTTGGCGACATTTTGGAGGCGATAAAGGTTACTACCTGGGACTTTGGTAATAATGTGAGCAGTACTGAGTTCCGATTACGCATTATTTTGTGTGGGGGAAATGCGAGATCATGAGATATGTCATGTGATATTAATGGACGAATTACGGTTCTTTAATCGGAAAAGGGGGAAATCGGGAAAAATCTGGAAATTTTGTATTGGCTTTATTCTGTGTTGTGTGAAATAGTGTTTGTGAATTTTGGATCCCATGGCCGTAAGTAAAGTGAATTCGAAATGGGTATTTAGTGGTATTGAAAGGATAGTAAGAAATGTTTTTTAAGGTTGTGTGAGAGAGAATAAACATGTTTTATTATGTTATTTATTTTACCTGGTATCTTGCTTTGAAAGATAAGTATGATTTTAAAGATTCTGAAAGAGAATGAAGAAAGTGTATCCGCCACGTAATGAAGATTGAAGGAGATTAGGTAAGTTAGTATTTTTAATTATTTTTATGCATTGTTGGAAATGTAAGGTGGAAAGGAATTTGGTATTATTGGGAAAAGTTATTAGCAATGATTTAGTTTAAAGTAATTAGGATTGTAAGGTAATTTTTATTAATGAATGTATGTGCTCATGTATATTTTAAGTGGTGTTTTGAATTTAATTATATTTTAATGAAATGATAGTTATTTTGTGAATTTTATACTTGTAGGAATTTGGTGTATGTTTAAGTTGAAATAAATGTGCATGGAAATAATTTAAATATTGATAATAAATATTTGTAATGCTTCATGTATGAATTCGTTGGTGACGTGTATAATGTAATAGATGATTTAGAGGTAAAAGTTTTTGGATATTTTATTTATTTATATGTGGAAAATGTTCATATTTGTAAAGGGTAAATACTTTTCGCGATCATGTAATTTCATATATGTTTTTTTACCGGGTTTAAAGATGAGAAAATTGTCGTGTATTTTCGTGAAATTTTTTAATTTATGAGATAAAAGCAGTGTACATGGATATAGTGAAGAGTGTGCGCAATGCCATTTTTTGTGCAATTCTGGGATGTTTTTTTAAGTAAAAATAAGTCGACGTGTACATGGTTCAGTGATATTTTAATGAAATGATAGTTATTTTGTGAATTTTATGCTTGTAGGAATTTGGTTTACGTTTAAGTTGAAACAAACGTGCATGGAAATAATTTAAATATTGATACTAATATTTGTAATGCTTCATGTATGAATTCGTTGTGTGACGTGTATAATGTAATAGATGATTTAGAGAGGTAAAAGTTTTTGGATATTTTATTTATTTTATATGTGGAAATGTTCATATTTGTAAAGGGTAAATACTTTTTCGCGATCAGGTAATTTCATATATGTTCTTTTTACCGGGTTTAAAGATTGAGAAAATTGTCATGTATTTTCGTGAAATTTTTCGAATTTATGAGAAAAAAGCAGTGTACATGGATATAGTGAAGAGTGTGCGCAATGCCATTTTTGTGCAATTCTGGGATGTTTTTTTAAGTAAAAATAAGTCGGCGTGTACATGGTTTATGTGTATGTTATTTTGAAAAACGCGTAAGGTGTATGGTATTGTGCACTTTTTCTGAATTTTGCAGTGAATATTTGTCATGATTAAGCAGTTTGTTTGATAAAATTTCTAGCATAAGTGTAATTCGGCTAGTAGATTGTTGGAAGAAGTGTTCAGTAGATAAGAAGAAAAGAAACATGTCTTTACTTCGTGAAGACAAAATGGCGGCGTGGAAAAAAAATAGAGGGTTGCTGTAGGGAGTTGGTCGCCAAAAAATCGCCAATTACCGTAATGTAAAGATCAACCCTTAATTTTGTATTTATGATGTGATTTTTTTTTTTGTAAATGAACAGTGTAAATAGTAGTTTAGTAATTTTGTATTTATGATGTGATTCTTGTAATGAACAGTGTAAATAGTAGTTTAGTAGTTAGTTTTTTGTATTTATGATGTGATTCTTGTGTAATAATAGTATCTTGTGTCTAACAGTGTAATAATAGTGAAGAAAAGGCCTCTTTTTAGATGATGGAGACGTATCAGGAAATGATAGTAAGCATTTCAGCTAGATGTTAGATTTTAGAACTTGAAGTGCTCCCTGGATAGCAATCATCATCGATGGTGTAGCTACTGACACTGAGGTGGTGGGGACGGAGCATCACCTTTTAGCCATCCAATAGATTCCATTCTGCTGGCCAACAATAGATCTTGGTCTTTTCTGTGAGCTACAAATAGCACGGTGGTAGCTGTTTTAGTGCACAATTATGAATCTGTTCAATTTTGACTAAATTTCTTAGTTAAAACTTCGAGAGGTTTATTGTTGACATACAAATGAGTCGCATCATTACAGGCATAGCAGGTAGCATTTAAAATATTTAAAGCTTTTTTACATGGATTTTAGTGCAGTATCGCAAATGGTACATGCATGCGTGAAAATTTATTGGAGGACTGTAGTGTAGAGAAGAGCTTTATTTCTAATTGACAGGCGGCTTTTTCGAGCTAAAAGAGGGTATAAATAGTATATGACAGTCTTTAACTTTAGTAAGTGCAAATTCAATATGAAGGTGCCAGAATAGTTTTGAATCAAGTCTCACTCCTAGATAATTGTAAGAATTTGACCAAGGAGCATAGTCATTCAAAAAACGTAAAATTAATGGAAGAGCACAAGAGGGGTGATCCAGGAAAAAATCATGGCAGCACATTTTGATTTTCGAAGTAATGAGCCAGTGCTCAAGGCAGGAAAGATAACTCTGAATATTGTCAATCAGAAAACCCAGGTGTTTGTGTTGTGAGAGGAGAGCCATGTCATTTGCATAAAGTGTTAAAGTGACACTAGATGATTTTAGGATGTTGTTGATGAAAATGTTGAACAATTGTCCTTATAAACATCCTTGTGGTACACCAGATAAAATTGGCCGGGATGAATAAATGATAGAATTAACTCATACAGAGAAAGAACATTAAGTAAGGTACAAATTAATTATGTGACAACTTGAGCCGAAAAATCAAGTCACATGAGCTTAATTATGATACTTGCAAGCCAAGTCCTATCAAATGCTTTGGCCTGTTTACACCTGTAAGCATTTTGTCACTATGCTAAGCCTTTTGTGAATGAACTCCACTGTCCTCAGAAGTTGATTCATTGTGCAGCAGTTTATATATATATATTTGTAATAATAAAATTCCATAGTCAAGAATAGACTTAAAATTCTAACTGTATGTTCTTTTCATTTTTAATGGCGACGGTCTCTTATTTGAAAGTACGTGGAATTAAATCCACAGCCCCGTAGTCGAGTTGTTTTTCCCGCCTTTTCTACACGTACAGTTATAGAATGTTCTAGAAATATTTAAAGCGAACTGGATTGGCTGACGAGGCTGTCATTTCTTGGAAGCTCCGCCTTTCCAGAGGCTATAAAAGGACTCGCAAAAGAATATCGGGGCTTTTTCTTAAATGTCACGATGCAGTAAACTTCATACAAAAAGTTATTAGTAATTCTTTTTATTTACTCCGGATATCTGATTTTGTAACTGCTATTCCTGTTTTGTTTTTTTTAAACTTATCATCTGATAATTTAAGCTACGACTATGTTTATGATTCTTCAACAATCTATTTATTCCTGGCAAAAGCTGGTACATCATATATTTATATATATGTTTATAGCAGCCCAGGTGGGCTATTAGTCTCGAAATGACAGTATTTATTTTGTATTTAAGAAAACTAAATAATGAAGAATCTGCATGAATGTGTGTATGTTTCTTGCATCGTGAAAAAACAATAGGATTTAGAGTCATCAAATTCTGAATAACATAGTCCTCTTCGAACATGGGCACCTGGAAGCCTGAATTTGGAATTTATTTTATTGTCTATTTCATGTTTTGTAAAAATTTTTATTTAAAAAACTCAACAATTTCAAAGTGAGCAGTGGCAACACTGAATGGAATAAAACAGTTTTAACTACATGAGACCATCTATCAGAAATTCTAAAGATATGTTGCTATTGTTTTGACTACTTTAAAGTCAGCTATTTGTTTAGCATTATACACTTATATATAGCTATAAATATATATATATATATATACAGTCAAAAGTCGTTAATCCGGACTCGTCGGGACTTCGGCGATTCCGGATTATAGAGATCATCAGTTTAAATCTGGTAAAGATGGCATGCAGAAATTACAAAATTAAAAATATGAAACCGTAATTTATGAAATAAGAAAAATTATGATCTAAAGGGTATCAAAATTTACAAAAGAAAAAGCTTAATATTTATTTGTTTACTTTATTAAACATTTCTTCAATGTAAGTTGCTTCGTTTCATGTGATAATACTTTCTCTTTAATTCTATTAAACAGACATAATTTCTTGTTTAGTTACAAAGTTCCGCTGTTCAAGTCCTATAATTTGCTGTGTTGAGAATACCGACTAATTTGTCAATCGAAATGTTTTCGTTTTCAATAACCTCTGGGTCACTTTCTTCACTATGGGAAGCGAATTATAATGACGAGGAACTTGATTTAAATCATATCAAAGACAGATCGAGATGAAATACTACACTTAGTACGGAATTATAAACCAAATAAAATAAAAACATCTGCTCTGAAGATAAGGATAGTGCTGACAGATCAACTTCCAATCCGCAGCGTGAAATTGATAAACAGATTTCGGATTTCAAAACATACTTTCGCTTGTAGATACAAATTACATATTAGTAAAATATAATCGGAAAATTCTATTTGACATAATCTTTTCTAATCTATCATAATCTAATAATGACGTTTCTGCCCCCCCTGCCGCAGAGCAGCGTGAAATTGATAAACATATTTCGGATTTCAAAACATACTTTCTCTTTTTAGTAAATATATATCGGAAATTCTATTTGACATAATCGAAAGTTCAAGCTTACTTTTATAAAATTGCTCTAACAGTCTGCAAAAAATAATAAGCCAGATCCAATTCGAAGATTAAGGAACAACGCAATCTGCAACATTAACTGAATTAGATTACTTTAGCTTAGCGTATAACTCCGTTACACATTAAACGCGCATGCGCACAAATATATTCGCAGCTGTAAGGGTTTTATGCGCTCTCGTAAACGCCTGTGCGCATGCATAAACGCGACGCATGCGCAGAAAGTTTGTAGCTTTGAGGTCCGGATTATAGATCATTCCGGATTATGGGTGTCCGAATTAACGACTTGACTGTAGTTAGTAAAATTGATCACATATCTATTGTTGAACAATCAATTTTTCTTCACTAATAAAATATTTCATTTCCTTCAATAGCATTTTATAAAATAATGGTCTAAAATAAACAACAAAAATATTTTAACACAGTTTATAAACAAAAGATACAAATTTATTTGTCTCTGTCTTTTAGAGACTTGAAAGGTGCTGATTATGTTGCTGACTCATTTGAAAAAGCTGTTGAGTGGTTGACCTCATCAGCAATAAAAGAAAAACTTGACAAAATATTTGTCATTGGAGGTGAAACTGTGTATAAAGTAAGTTACAGAACATATGTTTATCAATATCATCAATAATAATTATGTTTTTTTACCTCGTTTCCATTAATGGATGCATTTAGATGAGACAAAAGATGTGCTTGCTATGAATTAAATTTTTAATATTTAGGATAGCTGGAATTTTTTTGTTATGCTGCTGTCGTGTATTTTGATGGTATTGTTGTAATAGAGTGCGTCTTTCATTATTATTGTTTACACACAGTCTTCTGATGACTATTAATTAATTGTTATATGAAATGCAAGGACCATTTGCTATAAGGATTTCTTTTAAAAGTGATTTACTAAAAGGTATTATTACTATTATTATTATGTTTGCTTCACATAATTTTCTATATACAGCCAGTTGTCGGTACTTTTCCATTTTGCCGGCGCAAATCTCGCCAAGCAGACTTTATTGGTGACAACATACAATATACACGTAAAAAATATTTAAAAAAATGTTAGTTCTAAGAATTTTTTATTTGAAGGCATAATAAACATTTTAATATCGCTTAAAATTTTATAAAAAGCCAATAAAATAAAGACAATAAATTTGTAAAAAGACATTAATTTAAGAATTTACTATGCTTTCATGGTTCAACATCCTGATTCGCCGGTTCCTATCACATGACCCCAAGCGATCTCATCTCATGTAAACTACAAAAATCTAATGCTCTCAGTAATTATCTACATTAATTTCAAGTTAAATCTTAATTTGGAACGCAAGTTTAAATGCAACAAATATTTCAATTCGTACGAATAGCTTACTCAGAAATTATGTAAAACTGCAGTGCTTTACTTCGCTAATGCATTCTCATTAGAATGGATGAATTTACCCTTGACTTTACCTTTTCTATATTTTCGGCTTCGGGTAAGCGCTGTGATTGCATCCTAATTGACTTAATTACCGAAAATGGCCTTAGACATAAAACTGACTATCTGATAAAAATCCTATGTAATTATATGCCAGTATTGAAAGAAACAATCAATCTGATAAGAAAAAGCTGCGACTTGTTTCTAAAATGAGGCGTAAAAGGTTACCAGCGAGAATATTCCATTTGGAATCGGTTGTACAATTATTGGCGACTTTATCACTTGCGCCGGCATAACAGAAAAGTACCCAGTTTTCTTTACTTACTTAACTCCTAACACTAATAGTAATGAAAATAATGCATCATTTAACAAACTGTGTTTCTGTTCGGTATCTTTGTTTCTTATCACAACAAAAACTCCATAGTTATTTCAGCTTCCATTAATTTCATGGGAGAGTTATCGATACACAATCTTTTTTTGTAAAGAATATTTTTTTTCTTAAAGCAAACAAAAGAAATTTTTTATGTCCTGGTAAATCTCTAGTCGTAATATCCAGCGTAGTAGGGAGGGGGGACTGGTTTGATGAAAAATTTGGTTACTTTTGTGATATGATGGCCCTTGATAAATTGGCCATCACTGCTCTAAAATGATACATTACTGAAATTTCTGGATTATGTGGATTTATGTGCAGGTTGTTATATATGAGTTGTCTGACCTTCGATGGTTATCAAATCCCTGATTTTGATATTTGTATGTTATAGATTCAGTGATTACATTTTCTAGTGAAGTTGCTGCTTTAATGAGGAAATATCCTATTTTCAATCAGTCATTTTAGTCTTTCTTTCATTACTGTTAATTTTTAATTACCATTTTTGCAGATTGCCATGGACTCTGACTATAGCCACAGAATTTATCTCACTCGGATTCAGACTCACTTTGACTGTGATTCTTTCTTTCCAGCTATTGATGACTCTAAATATATGTTAGCTGAGTGAGTATTCAGTTATGATTTATTAAGACATCGTTTGCTTGTTACATTTTTAATTTCTCTTTTGCTTTACTTGTCTTGCATTTTTATTAAGTATTTGATGTCAGTTATAAAACAACAAGTTACAGATGTTTATTTTCATAAAGCAAAATTTTGGTAAAATGCGATTATTATTATTGCTAAATCTGTGCTGTCAAATTTAATAAGTTAAAACTGAAGAATGTGGGAGGGATTTTGAGTTATTGAAAATTTTATTTATCTGAAAAACATAATATCGATGTCAAGTCTACATTTCTACATTCAACTTGCTGAAATATGCATTTGTGAATTTGGGGACTATTATGTTGCAAATGTGCATTAAATTCAACCTTTTAAAATTTTTATATTCAGAACTTACTTTCATGTTAAATCTGTAGTTTTAGTTCTTCATATTAGCATTATTAATATATAGGAATCTTATGAGTTCTAGAGAACTTTATGTAGATACAATGAAACCTTTGACTACCTCTGGAAATGCCCAGTATCTCTGAGATCATAATTGCTATATTTGCCAGCATGTAAGACAGACTGGCCTATAAGATGCACCCCCAGTTTTATACACATTTTTGAAGGATAAAACTTTATTACTGGATCAATATAATGAATTTATAGTATTTTAAATATAAAGTAATACAGATACAAAGTAATACTTTCTGCAAATACTCAGTCTATCTAGGAAAGAACACATTTTAATCTTCTTCAACAAAACCCAGACCCTCATTTCCAGAGCTAAATGAAGAGTCACTTGAAACCTCTTCTAAATCAGCATCCAAGTCCTCATACAACAAATTATCCTCTGTATCCAGTGCATACTTCTTAAATGATTTAACCATTGTCTCTGTTTTCTCAGCGTCCCATGAAGCTTCGACATATAAGACATACCTTGTTTTTCTGTTCTATTTTCAAAAAAAAAAAAAAGTGTATCTTATACACCAACAAATACAGTACATAATGATGTTGAACAATAAAACTGTTATATTCAGACAGCAGATCTCATTTATGAGATGTAGATTAACTCTTCTGAAGACCTTGTTGCCAAATTAATATTTGTAGTGTAGAAGTGTTTAAGAAGATGGCATTTTCAGTATTCATAGTATAGAAGTATTAAAGTAGCTAAGCATCTTCCAAAGCATGTGCCAATTACTGTGTCATCATTGTGATGCACATATTGCAGTTAATGATTGTTCATTTGACCAATTTTTGTAAATATCCATGATTAAAATAACTTTTCATTTTTTATGTTCTTCGTATTTCTGTTTTTCTACATTTACTTTCCACCATACATTGTTACAAAAGTTATTACTTTTGCTTTTTTTTTTTTTTTTTTTTTTCATATTTTAAAATTGTGGCCATCATTTCTGTTACATCCTATGTAAACAGTGTATAAGTCCTTACCTGCTCTTTATTTTTGCAACTGTTGGTCACATAGATCTATGCTTTCACTTACAGAATTATTCTAAATAATGTAGATATACATATTTTGGTACTTTTAAAGAAATTAATTTTCTAAAAGTTATGAAATTTTAACTGTTCATATTTTTTTTTCTGATCCCTGTACTTATATTTAGAAAAATGTATATTTCTTATTAAAAAATGCAAAAAAAAAAAAAAAAAAAAAAAAATTTTTACTTCCCTTCAACAAAAATGAATCGAGATAGATAATTTGAAAATCTGGCAATGAGTGATATTCTTTTGTGATTTATTATTGCCTTTGATGTAAAACTTTATTATATTGGTATAAGAAAAGAATTTTCACATAAGTAATTTATTAGTTTTTGAAGTCTAAAAATATGTTAATATTCTCATTCAAATTTTCCTACCTAATATTCATACAATAAATTCATTTAACTACAAATGTTTAATTTTCAAATATCATAAGTTGGACATGAGACAGTACTAAGCCTACCAGTGTTTTATAAAACACAAATTTTATAAGATTTTGTTAAGATCTGTTTTAGAAAAAATCATATTAATTAATACTTTCATTAATTATTTGATTGAATTATAATAAAATGCATAGAGTTGTTGAGAAATATTTTTTGATATTGCTAAAAGATGCCATTGCAAGTCTTTTTGTTTGGTTTACTTAGTTCCCCCCCCCTGGATACATGACTATGTAAAAATTGATCAATCCGTCTTTTAGAATTTGAAATATGATATCAGTCAGTTTACATCATACAGGCATGAAACTTTTTATGTTTTATTTTTTATGGCGAGTACAAAATTTTCTTAAATGTCAATATAGGAACCATAGGAGTGTATAAAAGTGGCATTTTGTAATTTTTACAAAACTGACGTCTTTAAAATTAAAAAAAAGTGCCAAAACAAGAAACTGCATCATTTAAAACATTCTTGCAATTGCAAATATGTCTGCTACCAGTGCTGATGGGAATAAAGGCCAGGTAAGGACTTTTGTGGACTAGGTGCGTATCAGCTTTGTACATTTACCTATTATAAAGGTAGTTTATATATGCATACATTTCAGATAAAAATTACTTGAATATATGATGTTTAATGAATTCTTATCTATGAAGCTATTAGCATAATATTTATTATGTTTCTGCACTAGTTTATACAAATTACATTAAAGCTTCAAAACTTGTGTGTATTTAGTAATGCTATCCCTCACTTGAACCTTTATATATAATCAATTTTTATTACAGAGAACAAGATGTGCCTCTTGGAATTCAGGAAGAAAATGGAGTAACCTATAAACATGAAGTATATGTAAATAAGGATAGCTAAAATATATTATAATTCATCTTGTAAATTTAAGATGTTGAATTCAGATGATGTATCAGGTTTCAAAATCAATTTCCTGTTCTTCATTATTGATGAATACTTAATGATAATCTTTTTAAATTTATTAGTTTTTGAGTATAACTGATATTTTTCAGCACACTGCTTTGAAAATGTGCTTTAAGTGAAGTATTTTTAATTTATTGTTAATTCCTGAATGTAATAGTGGAAATTTTTTAAATTCCAGAATGTGTGCTCTATTATATATAGCATATTGATTTATTATTATTATTATCATCTTTCCATTTTAAGGAATTTTTTACTCATAGTTCTTATTGAAAATATTGGCTATCAAAAGGTTTATCATTAAATTATTAGTTAACATATGATAGATTTATTGAAATATAATGGAACACCCCTTAATGAGAAATGTTTATAATATTGGAATAAAATTCTGTAGATCATTATTTATATGTGTTGTATTTTCATTATTAATATATACTGCAATATAAATTTATATTATTAGTAAGACTAGATTGTTAACTTAATGAAAACGTAAATAAAAGAATAAATCAATGACATAAACATTTTATATTGTAGATAAGTGTAAAAATGTTTCTTAAATACAGATGGGGCAAATCTTAGCAAATATCATAAGACAGAGTTAACTGAATTATCTAAAAGTGTTGTTTATTGAATATTAAGAACATTAACATTTTTTTTAATTATATATTTAAATGGTAATTTTGTGTTCATAGAAAAAGCTTAAACACTTTTCTCATCGAGCATTCAAGTAGCTTCTTATTTAGATGAAACTGTTAACCCAAAATCTTTTATTCATCTTCATTCTGAGGTTTATTTACTATCTCAAATCTGCCTTTATTGTTTTCAATTAACATGGATGTAAGATAAGAGAAAAACAAAAGAGGGGGATATAATTTTCAATATTCCATGTAACAGCAAAGAGTCCTTAATGGCTTTATATAACCTTAACAAGAAGTTGTTTATTGCCTTTACCATATGAAAGAGTTACGAATTCTTGAATTTTTGTTCTTCCACCCAGAAATTCAGTCATTCATTTTGTTTGGATCGGTGATGGAACCAGTGTCAACTCTTCATCATCATGTTAACAAAAAGGTGTGAGCATTGTCTTCAATACAGGGATGATCTACTAGGCATTAACTGACATGCCCTGGCATTGAGGCACTAAAAAAAATCAAAAGCATTGTAGATTAAATATGCAGGCAGCTAAACATCAAAAGTGTGAGAAGTGCTTTACTTACAACCACTTAAAAATCAAGTTTCAGTGACACATTTTAATGCTCCAGTAAGCAGGAAATATAAATTCCTAACAGCTCTGACTCTAAGGTACTGAAAAGCTTACAACAGAAACACATTCATTAGTTAGTAATTCAAGACCTATTAGATTCATACATTTTCTATGTTTGTCTGCACTCAGATTCTTGAAGCAGTGTCCATTTGGTTTAATTCTAGAATGAGGAATAGAATTTTATATCAAATGCTATGTCCTCTGTTTTATCAGTTCATAGCAAGGTTGATCCTCTTACATTTTCCAACAAACAGCAGTGAATGAAAATGCATTGCTTCTATAAAGGCTTCTGTTAAAAGCAATATATTCAGTTTTTGTGCTTGATAATGCAACTATTCTTTGTTGGCATAATTCTCAGGAAGATGGTTGATTTGGTTTATTTGATTATCACAAAGCACATGAGGGCCATCTGCCTAAGGGAAGAGATGCCTTTGTGGATGACTTTCTAAAGGAAACTGGCGAACTGCTAAAATAAAACTATAGTTATTAAAAGTTTTTCCATTTAAAATATTTTCAGATCAGTATACATCATATAATACTGAAAATTTTAATTAGTTTTCCCGTTATGTTGTTTTATCTTTTAACTCTTTGAAGACCATAACACCCCAGACGGCCTTTCATTCAAATGATCACAACCGCCCCAAATGGCCAAAATTCCAATGTTGTTTTCTTCCATCTCCTAAGCTATGCAGTAGCAAATGCAGTTTGTCCAAATGCATTGTATCAGTTTACTGCTGACAGCTTGTTGTCCTAAAAGAATTTATTTGTAGTTTCTTATCATTATTTGTTACAAAGTAGAAAGTCATTTGAAATCTTCACTCCTATTTGTGCATGAATGGATGGGGAGGGAAGTAAATTGTTGTGACTCTCGAAAGCCATTTCGGGCAATTCAGTATTTTAAACATACGGGTTAGCGAAGGCTTTTCAAAGAGTTAAAGTAGGTTTTTGATAATGCAACGTGTGTTTTCCCTGAATGCAGAGAAAATGTTTTGGATTACTGTTACACTAATTTAAGTATACTAACAGAATTTGAATTTTCAAGTTGTGTAGATAAAGTAAATAAATTCATGATTCACTTTGCTTAAGAAAAGGAAAGAATAGGTTTGGAAAAACAACATTTGAGGACTTGGAAAGTTTAATTTTAGGATCAAGTATAAATGAAGTTGGTTTTAACTTCTACATATTGTACTTGAGTAAAAGATTATTTACTGAACTTGACTAGTTGACACATCTCCATTTTTATTTTGTTGATGCCTGAACATTGCTAAAACTTAAGTCTCTCATTTCAAAATTTTTAATGTGCGAGACTAAAAATTCATATTTTCGAAATTATTGTAAGTCAACAGTGTGCATGGGAAAGATAATATATTTGTTAGTTTCTCTTTGTACTTAAATGTGGTTATCATTTGTTTTTGGTGTAATTTATTTGACTATTGCAAAGCACGCTAAAGATATCTGCTCAAAAGGGAAAGGATGCTTTCATGGAAGACTTTCTAATCGAAGTTAACTCATATCCACATTACAGTTGGGGAAAACCATGAAAACATTAATCAGGCAGCCTGTTCACCTGGAATCGGAAAAGTATAGGATTACTACCAGATTAACCAACTAATGTTCAGCAACTTTATTCTTGTCCACTGGTAAGCCCCAAATATATTTATCATATGTATAAAGTTTTATGATCCTTTACCCCATTTTGCACAAATTTCACACATCAAATTAGGAACATACTTCCTTTCATTTTCTTCTGAAGACATTTCCTCCACTGCATTATGGAGTATCATTTGTCACCGCCTTACTTGTTTATATCTCGAGACATGGTTCATCATCCAAGACATATTTTGTTTGGAAAATTAATTCATGAATTGATTTGTTCAAAATCTGGGATATTCATAAAACAGTATTCTGCTGTACTTAAACTTATATGCTTTTAATATCTATGGCACACATAAATTTCCCATAATCTACACACTATGGCTTATATGCTTTTAATATCTGGAAGATCACATTCATACTCCATTTTCAACTTTCTTTGCATTATGGTTGGTGATTTATTTTTACGATGGCACTGTTCTTCCTGCTTCATTAATTTCCATGCTGAAATAGATTTCACAGTGCCACCTATTATAAAACCAAAAAAAAATGTTAAATTAGGGCTATATAACACTGTAGTTTTTAAAATGTGCTTTTCTTAATCCAGAAAAGACTATGCTCACCTATACATTTACAACCATTGATCTCAACACTTCTCCACTCTTTTAAGTTCAAACCTTTTTTTTAACAAACTAATTATCTTATTTTACAGACTATAAGATGCATCTTAATTTATAACAAGTTTTTTAATAATATTTTTACCAGTTTTATATTTAGATTGCAAAGCCAGATCTAAAAAAAAAATTCTTATTTTATGAAATGGAACTGACCTTTAAAATCCTTGAAAATCATCATCTGAACTTTCTTCTTCCTCTTCATATATCAGATTGCCTTCACTGCCATCGAGAGCATTACTTATGCTGCACTTTTTGAAAGATTTAACAATAATATTCTCTCTCTTTCTCTCTCTCTCTATGCTACAACTGTTTTATCCACTAACATACTTGTTTGATTGTAGGTTGTTTTAAAAACTCCTTTCGGTGTGAATTCATGTTGGGTTTCATCTATCATCCATATGTTCCATTCCTCTCTCATATACTCTTTAAATGGTTTATTTATCGAGACATCAAGAGTTTCTATTATGAAATAAGTCCGTCCGGAATAACAGCAAGCTCTGTATTTCCTTGTTTCAATTTCTCTTTCACAGAATTTTTCAAATGACTACTAAACTGATCTAGCACAAGAAGAGAACTCTTCTTCAATAAAGCACTTTTCTTTCTTTCCCACATTCTGTTAATCCATAATTTCATACCAGCCTCATCCATCCAACCCTTGTCATGTATGTGAACAACAACACCTGGCGGCATTTCAGAATGTTTTGGAATTGTTTTTCGCTTGAAGATGATCATTGGATTAAGTTTAGTGCTGTCATCACAACGTGAAAGGACAGACACACCAGGCGAGGGACCTCCGTCCCGGGTCCTCATTATATGGGCCTAAGAGTTTTCTCTGCGTTTTTCATGTCTACTTGTTTTTATAGTTGCAGTTTTAGCACCTTTCATGGCAACAGTTCTGTTACTCAGCACATCAAATGTTAGAGGAGTTTCGTTTATATTTGCTATTGGCTTAGTTCCACACTAGTGTTTTTTTTTTTTTTTTTTTTTTTTTTTTTTTTTTTTATGTTGAATAATAAAGCAATTGAAAAATAATATTTTCTATTCATACTCTTGTGGAATTTTCCAAGATATTTTGGTTCACATGCTAAGTCTATGGCATTTCATAAACTTGTAGCACCAACCAACACCACCTTTAAAGTCTGTTAAGTTGCATTGTAACGCTAGCTTACAAGTGTGTATTTGAATAATTTTTGTATTAATTCCAATGCAATTATGAAAGTGTGCCTGAATCCATTTTAATATGTCATCTTCTAGTTTTGGCCATCTTGCATTCAGCCTTCTATTTGCACATTTACACTCATTTTCTTTTCAGTTTACTAGCCTGCCGATCGCAAATGGTTTCTTCTGTTAATGTAGGGTCGAAAGGCCACTCGGCTTCTCTGTTTCCATGTTCTGCATATGCTAATACTTTCGATTTATAGCCCGCATCATATGAATACCTTTTATTTTCTTTAATTGTGAAACGAGGTACTAACAGAAATATTGTACTGTTATCGATAACACAAATTATATTCAATTCAAATTCACTGGCACCGTAGGCTGCAAAGACACATCATATAGGTTAGAAAATGTTCTGGGTTTGTGATGGTGGGGTGGGAGCGAGACAGTGTTGCCAGTGAATTCATTGTTGCCAGATGCAGATGGGTTTCCCATGTTATCGAATATACAATCATTTTAAGACTGGTGGCAATTCTAAATCAAACACTTGACATTTTTATATTAATTTCAAGTATAAGACACATCTGAATTTTGGAGGCAATTTTTTGAAGAAAACAGTGTTTTATTGTCCTTAAATTAAACTTAACTAATCTTAATAATAACTTAGTTAAGTTTAGTTAACTAAACTTAACTAAAGGTATGAATATGTAAAGGAGTGGTCAATAAATTTCTCAGTGTGGAATGTAATTAATAAAATTCAATTATATAGGCAACTTAAAATTAAATATATAATTAAAATAGATAAGATAAAAAATATCTAAATCAGCTTTAGAATTTAATTTAATAATAGCCTGTTAATTCCTCGTTTTTAATTTGGGTATTTACTCTCTTTGTTCCGAAAATTGCAAAAACTTTTCTGGACTGCTTAATTTTAGATCAATTCATCTAGCATGCCTGGTGTAATGCTGATGATGTAGCTAATTTGGAATTTGAACTCAAAATTTTGAGAACTGAAACCTTTTTAACCTAAAACAAAACCTTCTATTGGGGAGCCTCCATATTGGATAACTGTGCACGTCAGCTTCAGCTCTCGTGCAGTCAAGATGGTTCTTGGCATAATTAGCTAAAATGTGATACTCTGCAAACAAACAAAAAGATAGTTAAAAGACATTGAGTGTGCTGCGTTAACCATGAGGCCGATTATTATCGGCCAGGAGGGTTGCAGCATATTCATAAACTAAACTATGTATAAAACTGTGGAGTGCATATTGCACTCATGAGGATGTGTGGTGAAGAATATGTTTTGATAATTAGTTTGTAAGGATTATATTAATTTATCTGACAGTTAAATTTTGAGTTAAAGTTACTGTCCTATCTTTTCTTAATTTCA